TTCGTCGCAACAGGATATGTCACATGTCCTAAGGATGCAAGACTATCCAGGCGAAGAAATGGCCTGTCTGGCTCTCTCAGACTCTTCCTTCAGCATCACCTCTTCCGCGAAGGAAGCCACAAGCTCCCAATTCTCTTCTCTTGATAACATTATAGGGATCACCGAATCGTCGGTGAGAGTCCTGCCGACTATTTTACAGAGTTCGCGAAGAAAAGACCAGGCCTCGCACCTGGCTAGTGTATGCGACGCGTCGTCTCTACCGAACTCACAGTGTTCGCAACCCTCCGAGAAGTATTTCCTTATGCGACACAAATAAACGCTAAAACAGCCGTGATCCGTCAGGAGCTGAGACAACCTGTACGTGAGATTTCCGTACTCACATGTCATCCATTCGTTAAAATGTGGGAGGATCATATCTCTCCTGCGCCGCAGGATCCTCGGGACCCATCTCCTCTATTTGCGCACACTACACGTCGCGCATGATCTCTCTGCCTCTGTTCCTGACGACTCTTCTCGCTGCCACCGAAATCCTACAGTTATTACGTAGTAATACTACAGTTGTTACGTCGCTCGACGTCCGCAATAGTGTTATATACATATCGTCTATATTCCACCAAAAGGCGAAACGGGGGAATTCTAGCCAGTAGCGTGGCCGCCACGAACGATACCGTACGATATGATGAAATCACCCGAATAGCCAGACGTCGTTGGACACGGTGTATCGAACGCATATTCCTGCCAGTAAATACGTAATCCAGCGTCCACACCGGGAATGCGTAGAGCATCACTGAGTGAACGACACTGGAATACAGTAGCCGCTTGTTAACCGAGGGCCCACACAAATTGGGCATCAATACACTAAGGGCGTTTAAAAGTCTCTCCGCTTTCAACGAGACCAGCCTGAGATGCTCGGAAAAACGCCACCGATCATCGATCACAATTCCCAGATATCTCATAGATCCTAGTGGAGACAACAATCGATTCCAGGGAGATCCGAAGTAAAGGATCCGAATTGGCACCGCGAGGACAGAAAAGGAGAGCCTCTGTTTTAGGTGGAGAGACCTCCAAGTCCAAACTTCTAATGTGCATTAGCACTATCTCGCAGACGAGGTTCGCCCTGTACGGTTAGAAGTGATAGAGTTTCAGAAAAAAATGAAATAAATAAAACAGCTGCTAAGGATACGTATGCTGTAAA